TCGTGTCCTGCTCCTCAGGGTGCAGGGGGGACATGGTGCTCCTGCCTGCCCCTCGTGTCTTCACAAGCCAAGTGGTGTGACAGCCATAAAAGTGAACATACCCACAGCATTATTTATTTACTGTCTCGTTTTTACACCCAGGGATGCTTCAGCTTTCAGCCTTTTCTCTGCTCAAGAGCCCTGGGAAGTGTTTTATCTGGGTGTGCAGATTTGTTTTTAAGGGCTGCTGAGGCAGCAGCACGTTGGTGTGTTTCCTGGTCTGTAAAAAGTGATGCTGAGGGGGGTGGGGGATGCAGGGAGTGAAGAACTTGTGCAAACCCTCCAGCTCTTGCTCCTGATGGCAGGTTGGCTTGACAAGAAGGATGTGCATTCAAGAGGGGCAGGGGCTGCAGAGGCAGGAGTGGGGCTGTTGTTAGCCCTGCTGGTCCCACAGGAGCTGGCAATCCTGTGTTTAAAACTGAGGGTGAAGTCCAAGTGGGTGATCCAAAGATAGTGACTGGGCACCTGAGCTGGGTCCCAACTTCATGGTCTGTGCACATTCAGGAGAATCGGTTCTTGGAAAGGAGCAGGTCCCAAACGTTGATGGTTGAGGGCTCTGCACTTGGGGGTGATTGAATCTCTGTGTCCTGGGGTTCTGCTCTGCTTCCCCTGCCCAGGCTGAAACCAGAATGCTTTAAGGGAGGAAAACAAACAAAGCAAACCTGTTGGGAGACAAACCATCTGGCGGCCTTAATTGCTCACATAGCAGGTAAATGTTTGTGGTTTGTAGCCAGAGGGATGGGTAAAGTCTCTCAAGCAGGATGACTCATTTTACCAACTGTTGTTAAACAGATCAGTGTAGTTACTGTGCTGGTAACACACAGCAAGGTCAGTGTCACTGTGCAGTGCACAGGGGGGCTGGGAAAGGAGCTTGAAGGTCACACAGCTGAAGGCAGAACTCTCTAGGAGGACACTTCTCTAGTTTTGCTGCATTCTCACACTGTCAGTGGACACAGATTTCCCAAGCGCGTCGATGAAAAGCAGAATAAGCTCACCTGGGATGGTTGGAAGCAGCTCTCCCTGGCAGGCAGGGCTGGGGATGACAAGGGCTTACTTTGGTGTGATCCCAGGAGAGCCAAGCTTTTGACAATTAAGCTGGAAAAATGAGCTGCCTCAGTGCTGGTGCTGGCTTAGGAAGCAAGATCCTCCTGCTTGGTGGTGGAGCAGGAGGTGTCAGGAGCCATCCCTGAAACGTGATGCAAAAGCTGATGTGTCCAGGGAGCCAGTTCCTTGTGTGAGTGAGGGCACCATCCATCAAGGCAGGGTCGATGAAAAGCAGAATCAGCTCACCTGGGATGGTTGGAAGCAGCTCTCCCTGGCAGGCAGGGCTGGGGATGACAAGGGCTTACTTTGGTGTGATCCCAGGAGAGCCAAGCTTTTGACAATTAAGCTGGAAAAATGAGCTGCCTCAGTGCTGGTGCTGGCTTAGGAAGCAAGATCCTCCTGCTTGGTGGTGGAGCAGGAGGTGTCAGGAGCCATCCCTGAAACGTGATGCAAAAGCTGATGTGTCCAGGGAGCCAGTTCCTTGTGTGAGTGAGGGCACCATCCATCAAGGCAGGAGAAAATCAGGACTTTGAGGGATCTTCCAGAAGGTCTCAGCTCCTGTACCAGGGAAGTCTGCTGAATTAGGAATTTCCTTCCCTGGGAGAGTTCAAGCTCTGTCAAACCCTTGAATTGGTGCTTCCAAGGGGGTACTTCTCTGAGGGGTGGTTCAAACTGGTGGCAGAGTGAGAAGCCAGACTGGACCTGATGGAAATGCACTTTTCTAAATGCCATCTTTCACATTCAGCATAAAACTGAGTTCTCAACAAGCTGTGTCCTTAGTGATCATAGTGGGGTGAGCTCAGTAGGGCCACTGGTTTTGCCAGATTCTGAAATTGATCATTATTTCCTATTAAAGTGATCTTTTCCTCATCTATTTTACTTGCATGCACTGTGCTTCTTCCTGTCCTGAGTGATGGGGTGTGCTCTTCAGTAGCTGCTGCCCCTTACACACCTCTGGGTGTTTAATGCTCTTTTCTTACCTCCTAATGGGACCTGTGTCCTTTTCCTTGATGTTTTCAAAGCCTTTTGAAAAGTTTGGCTGGAGGGTGGGCTGGAAGGCCAGAAGATGCTTGGATTTTTTTCCTTCCTTTGATCACTGAAAGCCTCACTTAAGAAAAAAGAATAAATCAAGTGACTGTGACTCACAGAGTCATTGGGAGGTGTGTACGTGGCCACTAATATTTTTGGATGCAGGAGAAAGGCCCTTGGCACTTTTGCTGAGCAAACTGCTGATAAATGGCAGCTGTTCCTTTGTGAAGCCAAATACTCACTTTGTGTTACTTGCATCACTCATTTTTTTTTGGATCTGTGGCTTTTCAAGAGAGACCAAAACCAAAATAGCATTTGAATTGTCAGCTTAGAGACTGAGCAACTTCACTGAGACTTCAGGGTTGATTAATTGTGTGGGAAATGTTGGTGTCCAGGTGCACAGAATGTATGTTATATAAATAATGCAGCAGTGGTTCATATCCTCTCTGCTTTCTGCAAAGGAGCCTGAAGCATTTTCTTGACCCAAATTGTACGTGAAAATCAAAGAACTAACTCTTCTGCTGCTCTTGGAAGTGAAAAGAGCTGGAACCTTAGCTTTGGGAATACTGATGTTTCTTCTTAGCTGAGGAGAGAAGGATTTGGAAATGGATTGGATCTGTTGGACACTGAACTGTGCTGCTGGTGCACAGGAGGTTGGTTAAAGTGGGAAGTGGGGGTGCTCCTCTAACATGGGAAGGGGAGGTGCTCCTGTCCAATGACTGCAGAGTAAACACTGGCCTGACTGACCCCAACACTGCTCCCCCCACCCCCTGCTCCCAGTGTTGAATCAAAAAGGTGGCGAGAAAATCAACGACGCTGCTTCTGTTGCTCGTTTTTGTTTCTTTTCTTTTTATTAGACAACTGCTTTCCATTATAAATAAATAAGGCATGAAGGTTCTCCATACTGTTGCAGAGCTGGTAGCCACAGTCGTGCATTTGGCTCCTCATGGTTTGTTTTGTATTTGAGTTTGGGGCCATTGGGCACCTGGAAATGCAGAGCATGGAAGAGGGGAGTGGTTGGTGGAGGGTGTTTGAGGAGGAGACCTCTGGACCAGGTGTGGTTTGGGCATCACACTCCTGCCAACTTACCTCCATGGTGCTCAGCTTAACAAAAGAGGGGATTTGGGGGGTGGGTGGGTGGTGTATTTTTGCATTAATTCTCTGGGGAGTGAATCCAGGAGACTTGGAGGATAATTACATTTTAGCAGCTGTCCCCTCCAAAGCCATGTTCTCTTTTATTTGTCTCCATGTTGCAAACATCCCAACTGTTTCCCCGAGATTTTTGGGATGTAAGCAGGTGGGAATAGAATCCAGCTCTGGCCTGAAGTTTGTCTCCAGGCAGGGACAGCAGAGGTAGCTGACCCTGAACTGCTGGTTTCTCGTGGCTCGATGCTCGGGGTGTTGCCTCAGTTGGACTGGAATTCTGCTTCTCTGCCCAAAATGCACATCTGACCCTACAAGGTCAACATCTAGTTGATGAAAAATGGGAACTGGTGATTCCTGAGACTGCTGTGGCCTTTTGGCTGTGCTTGCATGTCTGTGGAAGCAAAAGTGAGGAGATTTCAGTGCTAGAAAGTGAAGTGGAGCATGAGGGGTGACAACCTTCGGGGACAGGAATCCCAGCCAAGGAAAGGTTCTTTTCAGCAGGGAACTGGACTCTGTCCTCTTGACTGGGGAGATGTTCAGAGCATAAGTGTGGGGCAAAGTGTGATCAGTGCTGCTGCCAGAGCCCCTGACACCCCCTCAGAGGCTCCATCCCTCTGCTTGCATGCGGGTCACTGGTGCTCAGCTTGGCAAGCCCATGCAAGGTGGATCAGAGGGGTTTGCTACGCTGGGGCAATGACATCCTCTTGAGCACAGCCCAGAGGCCTGGGACCCAAGGTGGGAGTGAGTCTCTGGTGCTGTGACAGCACTTCTTGTCCAGCTTAGGGGAAAGCTCAAGTCATCAAGGTCCTACCAGGAACCAGGGCTGCACCTGGGCTGAGATGCTGGGGCAGGTTAAAAGCGAGGAAATCCCATTTGCCTACGAAGTCTGGAGGGTATGGACTGAGATACAAGGTGATGCTGATGGAGACTGAAAAATCAGTGTTAGGTTTCAAGTTTTTCCAGTTGCAAGGAGCTTGCATTGTAAAGAGCTGAAAAACCTGACGGATAAGAGAATGGCTTCAATAGCAAGAAGATACTGCCCTGTGGGGAGGGGGAAGGCCTGGACGGAAGTCTTTTGGGTGCAAGGGGTGGTTTTTAGCCATAAAACCAAACTGGAGGGTTGGGCTGGTGTCCTGGAGCAGCCCCTGACATGGCTTTTTTTTTGCTTTACTTTGCTGTGGCAGGATCCTGGAGGCCATCCAGGCTTCTGCCTGCAGATAGCCAGGCTGTAGAGCAGAAAAGGGTGGAGGGAGGTGATGGTTTTTATTTATTTCATGGCGTGGTCTGCGTGGCTGTTGGGGTGTCTGGCAGCACCTCACGCAGAGATCCGTGTCTGAAACCCTCTAGCTACAATGTACAGTTGTCCCAAGGAGTTGTCCAGAGCTCAAGCTTAAAAAAAACCAAACCAAAACAGTGAGCTGAGTCTCCATGACACTTTCTTACTTGTAGACCTCTGGAACCTTCAAAGCAGTGGGGCCACATGGCGTTTCCTGGAGCTGAAGAGAAGACGTGGCCGCAGGGGTGGCAGGTGGGAGCTGCAGGGAGGCAGGACACTCATTTGCTGCTCTTGTTTTTCACCTTGGTGGCGTTGATGTCCGCTTTCGTCTTCTGGATGCGGGAGAAGATCTCCTTAAAGAGAGCCTTGTACTCGGGCTGGCTCTGCTCCAGCCGCTTGTCCACGGCCTCCACGTGCTTGCTGATGGTCTTCTCCATGCTCTTCCTGTCCTCCAGCTCGTGCCCCTCTCCTCGGAAGTCTCGGAAGGAGCTGTCCCGGGAGATGGGCCGGGACGTCTGGACCCCCGCGTGGCGCACGCTGTCCTTGTGCTGCCGGCACTTGCTGAGCAGCTCCTCGTACTTCTCCAGCAGGGCGTGGTACTGCTCGTCCACCTCCCTCAGGATGGACATGCCCCGCTTCCTCACGCTGTTGGCGTGCAGGGTGTAGTTGCCCTCGTGCCGGCTGACGGCGTCCTTGGTGACGATGGCGTTGAGGGCCGTGTCGCTGCAGCTCTTCCGCACGGGGTGGTTGGGGGAAGGAGTCATGGACGGCCCGTGGATTTTCCCTCCCTCCTCCTCGGGGAGGTCGATGTAGTCTGCTTCTGGGGCGTTGTTCAGCGGCTCCAGGAGGGCCTCGGACAGGTTGTCTTCTCTGCTGAGCAGGTACTTCTTGACTTGTTTCATCTGCTGGAGCTCCAGGAGCTCTGCCTCCAGCTCCTTGATGCGCAGTTTGCAGTTCTCCATCTCGCACACCCGCTGCTCCAGGTCCGAGTACTCCTGGATCACTGAGCTGTATTCCCGCTCCACCCGCTCCTTCCGCTGCTTCTCTTGGTTGACCTGAGACCTCAGGGAGTTCACCATGGCTTGGAGACGCTCGTTCTCCCTCTCCAGTGGCACCTGGTTGAACTCTGTGGAAGGGCTGTGGAGCTGGAATGCGTCCTCGTACCTGAAGGAGAAGAAAGAGTCTGACCAAGTGACAGACACATAAGTCCACTGATGCTCAGACAGTTGGTAACCAAACCAGTGTCTGAGCTCGTGGGGTGAGATGTGCCAAGAGACCACAAGGTGTGGCCAAGACTCTTCTAGACACAGAGACCAGTCCCTGTCCCAGAGAACCTGCAGTCTCACTTGATAGCAGTGATGGGAGGGAAACGAAACCCTAAAAGGTGGTTAATGGACAAGTCACCTCCGTTGCCATGAAGCAAGGAGGAATGTTTGGGAGCCACTAGTTCGAGAGCTGGAAGTAGAAGCCTTTGAGTTTCTCCTGCTGGAGTTCACCAGCTGATCACTGCATCCTGGTGTTCATCAATAACTCACTGCACCTGCCAGCAACCCCAGACCCCACCCCACTAAAAACCAGCACAGGCTCTGCTGCCCCATGTCTGGGAGGTGCTCCAGAGAGTGGAGAGAAGACTTGCAGAGCAAGGGAGGCAGAGAGAGACTTTTGACAGAGTTGCCCCTTTTCCATAGCATGGGAAGGGATAACACGTGCTTCCCCCTTCCCTGGTGCTGCTGTTGGGAAATGGGGTTTTCCTGCTCAATGAAGAGCCCTGGGCAGCCTCTCTGGTCAGAGCGGGTTGGAAGCGAGAGCAGCGTGGTGCCCCTGGGAGGCATGGCTGGTGGTGGGAGGGGTCAGCAGATGTCCCAGTTGCTGAAGGGCAGCGTGACCTTCAGAGCCAACAGCAGAGCTGGAGCCAAGCTGAGGTCCTGAGGCACTGGGGGGAGAGGGGGATTGGGGGGCTGGGAGGAGGAGAAGCATGGAGACATCAAGTGGATTTGGCTGGGGGTTAGGTTGTGGCCTCAGAACATCTCCATTGCTGCTGCAGTGAGTGTGTCTGTTGTCCATATCCCCTGGCAGGAGATGTTTCCAGTGACAAAGTTTATTGATTGCTCCTCTATTTAAAGAAGCCTCAGTTATGGACAAAGCTGAGCAAGAAACGCCCTGATGAGGTCAGGAAATTAACAGAGTGGCTGGGGTTGAAGGAGAATCGAGTGTGAGATGATGCTGAAGGTGTTTGGCAGCACCTGGTGGATCTTGGTGTGTGACTGGTGCTCCTGGGAGGTACTGGGGTCGTACAGGGTCCTGTGCTGGGAGGCAGCTGCAAAGGGAAGATGGGTTGTGCTGGCAGAGAAGCTGTGTGGGGAGCTTGAGGTAGGGGTTTTCATGTAGAATTATTTAATTCTAGAGTAGTTTGAGTTGGAAGGGACCTTAAGGGTCCTCTAGTTCCAGCTTCCCTGCCTGGGACACCATCCACTGGACCAGGTTGCTCAAAGCCCCAGGTTGCTTTGGTGTCCCAGCTCCTGGCAGCAGGGTTGAAACTAGTTGGAACATGATGGATGGGTGGCTGGTTTGAGCCATCTAGAACTCAAGCAATGTGTCCTGTCTGGTGAGTGTTCCTGCACAGCTCCCCACTAACGTGCCAGGAGATCCTCAGCCTCTCCACATAGTGCCTGTCCCTGGCAGCCTGGCCTGATGCAGCTGTGTGAGGCATCCAGGTCCTCCTGGGTGGCTGTTCTTGCCCTCTGAAAATGAGATTGTTTCCCACTTTGAGGCATCACTGATGCTGGGATCATGAAGGCTTTGCTTTGCCACCACCACCTGCTCAGGTGGGTGGCAGGGGAGGTCCTCCCTTCACCTCCAGCATCGAGTTTCAGGCTCTGATGCAGAGCCTGGAGCTCTCTGAGGGGGGATGTATATGGGATTTTGTGCCTCCCCCAGGAGGGGCTAACCCACCACATCCCCTGCTCATGGGCAGAGGAGGTGGGGGAGAAGGTTGGAGGGGTTGCTGAAGGCCAAGCTCCATACCTGGGGCTGGAGCACAGCTCCTTGAGGCAGGGGAAGGTGTGGATGGTTCGGCGCCGCTCCCGCTTCTCCCGCCGAATCCGGAGCTGCTCCAAGCTCCTCATCTCCTCCACCTGCTTCTGCAGCTCCTCCACCTGGTTCTGCAACCCCTCGATTGTTTCTGTCAAGCTGTGGAGAGAGGAGGGAGCACACGTGAGGGGTCAGGTACTACTGGTCCTTGAAAAGTGTTTGTTCCCTGTAGGGACAGCCTGTGGAAGAAGGTGCTTCCAGCCCTGGGAGCACTTGCTTCTCATGGCAGTGGTTGGTCTTTCTCTGTGTGGTCACATCACTCAAGAGGAGTGGGGTGGGGTTGCAGAAAGGGTGGGAGGGTTGAAGCAGGGGCAAGGGATCCTTCTGACTTCAGACCCTCTGTCCTCAGATCAGTTGGCCCAGTCACCTCTGGGACAGCCACACTGTCCTGGAATGTCTCTGCACTGAAGGGCTCAAGGAAGCAGGTGAGCAATGA